TTTTAGTCATTATGTGTTGGGTGCTGCTCTGAGTTCTGTCAAGCATTGTACTAGATAGATGGTTTCATGAACATTGTTTTATTTAATTCTATGCCATACTGCTTCCTTATTAAAAGATTAAAACATGCTTTTTTTTAATCCTAAAGTTAACTGAAACAGGAAAGATCTGGAGCATGGCAGGCCCCCACAAGGCAGCTAAAGTACTCAAAGCAATGGATACCAGTAATTTTCTACAAAAGTTACCAAAGCGCAAACACAAGCTTCTCAATAAGTTTCTCACTAAACTTCATCATCATCACCTCCCTCTGTCAGGGATCTTTCATGAGATGTAGTTTTTCTCTCAGATTAAAGACCAAAAGAGCAGTAAGTTGATTTCACCAGCTGGGTCCTGGAACTCAGCCATGGGTGATTTTTTGCAAAGCACTCTAAACACAAGCAAGGTTCACTGGCCAAGGGCCCAGGCCGGCAAGCCAAAGAGCATTCTAGTTAACAGGGACACAAGGCTTGGACACCAGCAAGCTGTTCTGAGCTCCAACACAGTCATATTTATTAACTTCCGTTAGAAAATTTAGATGCACAGGAGAAATACTTATTATGAACAGGTGCTGGAAAACAGAATCTTAATAAAAATTAAGCCTCAGGAAATAAAAGGTGATTCAAACAATACTGAATACCAAGAATATACCTGTTGTTTTTTTAATAAGGTACCTTAATGATTTTTTTTTTTTAACAAAAGAAGAAAGGCAAAAAAGAAGGGAAGGAGAGCAGAATGGGCAGAAGAAGAAAGAAGGAAGGAAAAAAATCCTCAAAAAGATACACATACCTTGGTAGCATGCAATAGAATATTTAAATTATGAGTCCATTATGCCAAATGATTACCTCTTGACTAGGACCTTTTCTTTGGGAATATTAATAGCATGTATGTCATCACTGACCAAATAAGTACCAACCCTGGAGATGACCAAGAGAGGCAAGGTGTCCTGTCACCATAGAAAGGAAAGTTCTCCAATCATTTTTAAACTCCAGATTCTGCTTGGCAACAGAGCAATTAAAAAAAAAAAAAAAAGATGGCAATACTAGGATATTTCTAGAGGGGGAGAGTTTGTGAATATAAAAGCCATTTTTAGAAAGAGTTGTGAGCCAATTAAGTTACAAAGAGTTATTTCTGAACCTCACATTTTAAGGTATTGATTCTAACAGCTGGGGTCATGCATTTGGATCAAACATTTATAAATTCTGGTCCCTGTTTCAAAATGGTTGTTCAAATTCATTGTTATTTGATAGGACAACTAAAGATATATTTTTATAACCTTTCTATTTAACCACTCTATATATAGACTTCAGAAATTGATTATCATGGGTGTCAACGGGTGTCTTCAAACATCTCTATTCTATAATTAGGAGGAGGGTTGTTTTTAGAGGGTGAGGGCTTAGTTAACAGTTGCAATATAGAAGGTGGGGATGTATTTGGCAACAGAATATACCAGAAGCCCCTGCTGATGGCTGGAATGGCAGGTCTTTTGGGTGGGAGGAGGCGGGAACCCCCGAGGATCTGCAGTGGCTGCAGGCATGATTCAAAGGAATAAAGCAAGGATTAATGAGCAACTTACTAATGAGAGATAGCCACAGAGCAGAAGACCTTCCTTATTAAAATCTGTGCAGAGTAACAAGCACGTATGGTAGTAGCCAAATTCCCATTTTGTACAAGAAACAAGAATAAGCCAGCTGCACCAGGAACATTCAAAGGTACTCCGACCAAGGGAAGAAGTAAGAGGAGTCAGATGGCCACAGCAAGCTATAGCGTTGACCAGAAATTGTATATATTATCAATTTAGCAACACTGACAACATGTACAGGCCTGAATAAATTCCATTTTCACGGACCTCACTGTAAAATGCCCCGTTTTGTAGGCTTTCTCTGCACTGATGCAAGACAAGTGAAAAGCATACAAAATGATACACTTTAGCCCCTGAAATGAATCCAGTTATTACTGCTATTAAGAAAATGGTAATTTGTCATAAAATAATGCAGCCTCTGTGAGTCCTCTAGGTTCAGTGGAAAGACGCGGTACATGCATGCTGCTCAAGCAAGAGGAAGAGGCTTGGTGACTTTTGATGCAGCAATGTCTCCCGAGGTCTAGGCTCCTGGGGGCCAAGTAAGAGTCAGTTTTGCTTCCATTCATCTTTGACCCAAGATGGCATTCCTAATTGTCATGAAGCAAAAGAGGAACAAATAAAATGGCAAAGAATGGCAGAAGGCCTATTGCCTCTAATGTCAGGAGCATGGAGGAGCAAGTCAAGACAAGAACTGTGGACACATCCAACGGCTCATCAATGAGGAATCACGGGACTTTGCTTGGGAAACTTGGGCTCTAATTTATTCCCACATTGTGCAGCTTTGAAAATTCACTGTACATCAGTTTTCTCAATTAGAAAATGGGAAGAATAGTCAAAACTCCTTCTTTGTTATACAAATGTTTTCTGTGACTACCTGGAAAAATTTCTCCTCAAAAGAAAATACAATCTGTATTCTTCAGCCTTAAGCAGGACATTTCGACACATGCTACAACATGGATGAACCTGAGGCCATTATGCCAAGTGAAATACGTCAGTCACAAAAGGACACATGTGGTGTAAGTCCACTTAAATGAGGTAAGGAGTCATCAAATTCATAGAGGCAGAAAGTGGAATGGTAGTTTTCAGTGATGGGGTTTAGAGGTGGAAGGAATGGGGATTTGTTGATTAATGGGTACAGAATGTCAGTTCCACAACACGAAAGGGGTTCTGCAAACGGGTTGCACAACAGTGTGAATGTGTATAATACTACTGAACTATACACTTAAATAGTTAAGACGGTAAATTTTATGTTTTGATTTTTCCCAAAATGAATGATTTCAAAAATAAATAAATAAAATGCACAACAGGCCTGGCACAGTGGACAGCATCACTCTACAAGTACTGACTACAGGAATGAAGAAGACTCCTTGTGTAAGAGAGACAAGATCTAACTGACTTATCATCACTGAAAGATCTTTAAACATTTTCAGAAATGGACCCAAAGCATTGGGTGCAATGAGTAAGGGAACCACCAATTATGGGTGTCAATGAGTCATCTGCTACACCTAAGCCTTAGCCCTTACAGGAACCATCCACCTCTGAGAATCAGATGACACAGACCACATTAAGGCCGTGCTGTCAGGAAAGACAGCCTGTTGCCAGTCAAGTACGCCGCTGCCGTAGGAGAGTGGAAGGAGCAGAGCTAGGGGAGGTGATGCAGGTACTAGGGAAATGCTTTTCTGCTGCCACTTGGATATTTTGCAATTTGGCAGATTACCAATCTAACCAAGAAATGGTTTGTTACAGTATTGTGATCCATCACAATGCACAGTACTATTTGCAAAGAAGCTTAGAAGATATCTATTAGCAGTCAGAAGACATTCTGATGAATCCATTTACTCATTCATCCTAAACTTACTGAGCCCTACCACAGGCAGGTGCCTTGACAGTCACAAGAGGTATAAAGATGAACATATCCTGCTCTTTGCCTGCCAAGTCTGGTGAAGGGGGATAGATTCCAGCCACAGGCAAGGTCTTGTAAAAAACAAAGATGTTATGGAAAAAACTGTGTTTGAACCATGGAGAGACGATATTTGTAACTAAGACATATGTGTGTGTCAGGAGGAGGAGAGACTGGAGTGGTGGGTTGGAATCATGGTGACAAACCTGAATATCTCCCCAAGTAGTCTGGCTCTGTTTTGAAGGTTTGAGAAACATAACTCTTAGATGGCAGGTAGACAAGAATAACTACTTAGAAAGGAGGACCACCGAAGAGGCCGCTGTAATAGATTAAGCCAAAGTAGAGAGGACTCAAACTAAATCTGTTAGTGACACTAAGGAAGTAGGTGGCAAAGAGGAGAGCAAAGGAAGGCTTCTAGTTTACACGACTGTTGGTGACAAACATTATTGGAGGAAGAACAAGACAAGGGGAAGACAATGTCTTCAGTTGGGAACAGACTTCTCATTCATAAAAGGAAAATAAAGAATAAATGATCAGATGGGATCTTAGCATTGTGGTGAGGATTAAATGATAAAATAACAAGAAGAACATCATACTTTCATTTATGATTAGTTTTGTGTAAGTGTGGGACCCAGAGAAGATTTGGGACAGGAGACAGTTGGGAGTTACTGGTATAGACATAAGTGTTAATAATGCCAAAGGGTGTAAGCTGGATCACCCAGGGAGATGACATCCTGTAATCTAGGACCAGACCCTGGTGCATGCAAATATGCAGAGCATGAGGGGTGGGGGCTGGAGTGGAGGCCAGTAAAGACGGCTCTGAAGAAGTGATCCAAATATAAGTATCTGGAAAAAATAGCTTCACGGGAAAAAAAAAAAAAAGAAACAACAAACCAACAGTGAACAGCCAAAAGCACCAATTCTGCCCAGAAGCTGGTAAGATGAGAACTAGAATGAGAGGGTTTAACACTGAAGAGGTCAAGAGTACCATTAGCAAAAGCTACTCCAGTGGATGGTAGGGTGAAAGCCAGTTACAGTTCACTTAGGAATGTTGTATTTTCCTGACATATTTTGACATTACATAACTCTTTAATTGGGGAAATCTTCATTCTTTAGGGCTGGAACACTGAGCTTTCACTCTCTCCCAGGAGCCACAGATACAATTTTTCTTCTTCATTTCATTTGGACAGCAGAGGGACTTGGGACTCAGACTCAGAGGAAATTAATGCCGTTAAGAATCATTGCTATATTTTATCACTGAGAAAAGGACACTAGGTTTGGGGTTGGGGGAGAGTGAAGAGACAATAGGATTAAAATATAGAACAGCACAAAAAAAGTAGAGAATCTTCTATAATAATGCCAAAAGTCATACTAATTCAGGACTGATGGGAGAACAGAAGTAGGTGCTTCTGAGACTATACCCATCTGCCAAGGGTCACGAAAAACGCCTGTCTGAAAGTCCTTTACAACATACCCACTCTTACCTTTCTTTTGATATCCGTGAACTGGGAAAACATTAAAGACCAATAAAACGACAGCTCCAGGATATAATAGTAGTGAAGGTCAGGTGTGAGTGGCTGAGGATCAAAGAGAAAAAGGCAAGATTAATAATTAATAGGAAACCAAATCTGTTTCAAACATCTCAAGCTCAGTACTGGAAAGTGACATGGTCTTACACCTCCACAAATTCCAGCCCCATTCTCTCTGTGGATAAGAGAGCTTTGAAGGATTCCTCTAATCCACAGCTTGATGGAATTAGTTTTGTTTCATCTCCAGCCAGAAAAGTGACAACTGGTTTCAACATTTGGCATTGATACCCAATTCGCGATTCATTTCAACAATTGCATTTATGGTTCTCTGACATGTGTCTCTATAAGATTCCTTTAGGCAACTTGCAAAAAAAATTCTAACACATACACAGAAAGAATAAATCTGGACAACTCCCATTGGATTCTTTGAGATTGCTATACTCAATTCCATGAGTACAGGACCAGGGGAGGTGAAAGAAGCTGGAGTACTATATGAGTCATGGAGGCACAGTTTCAGATTCTGTCTTAATTGGAGCTTTTTTGTTCTTAGAAAATGTTCTGTACATTGTAAAGATTTTTAAAAAGATAATTCAAAAATATTTATTACAAGATCAGGGGGACAAGGAAGCTGCTAGAAGATACCAGGTTAGGTACCCACCTGGGAATCTGAGATCAAGCCCCAGTTCCACAGTTTAAGTAGCTATAAAACTTGGGCCTTGGTTTACTAATTGGAAAAGTGAGGTAACATCTGCTTTATCTGCCTCAGAGGTCCAGGAATGAGGAGAGGCTCAGAGAGGCAGTGGAAGTCAATGATATTTATTTTGCACATAAATCCATAAAGACAAAACAGAGTTTAAAAAAAAAACATTTTTGATGAGTTGTTTTTAATTGTTTCACTGAGTTATAATGAAATAACTTGATTTCCCCAATGACTGAAAGACCTTTGAAACTCACTACATGAACACATCCACACCACTGCACACAAGCAATAGTATATACATGGAAAATACAATTGAAACTGAAATACTCTGTAAACCAATAACAGCATAATGACTAAGTCATGTGAGAAGCACTCACTTAACTACCAACTGTAAGCATGGACACCAAGAAAAACAGTTGTTCCCCTCATTTATCTTTGTCAACAAAACACAGGAGGAACAGGATCCTTTCCACACAGTATGCCATTCCAGGATACAGAACTATAAGTGACAATATTCTGAGCATAATACTTAAGTTCATAAAACAGCAGTTGGGACTGAGAATTACAATTGTGTGCAGGAAGTGATTGCTTTCGATGTTACTTTAGTCTCAATCAGATGGCCTTGGAATGTTCAGCTCTCTCTGACCATGTCATGTTGTTGATTTTCAGTCTTTCCTAATTTGAATAAACCATGTGAAAGAGATGGAAATGAAAACTGGAATCCCCATTTCAACGTGTTCCTAGTCTTGAACTTGTCCTAAGGAAGAGCCAACACCAGTCCCTATCCCCTGTTGCAACACAATGTGTAATAAAGAAGCAGGGCACGCCTGCTGTCCATTAACTTTGTTAGACCAAATGCCTCTAAAAAGGCAATCTATAGAATCCCAAACTCAAAATTCCACACTGCTTACTACAATGTCAGTCTCTTTATTTTATCAACAAAATACATGGTTGTATATGTTTCTCTTAAATAATATATCTCAGTTGAACTAGAAATTCTAGAACTGTTTCAGCAAGAAATTTCCAGAGAAGTCCCACTTGGATATTCAAATAGTAACTGAGCTAGAGACCACAACACATGGTAATATTACTAAATTCAAGATCCGAGGCAAGGGTATATCCGTGGGCAGGGATCTGAAATGCTCTCTGTCTGGGATATGATTTTAATCTCATTTTCAACAATGCTATTTTTGTCTATGTGCAACGGGACAAGCCCGTTTTTCCATGCTCAGGGAACTGGTGTTTAATTCACATCTACAGAGGCTGCTCCTAAGCCATAAAGTGAACCAAATTCAGCATGCCTATCCTAGCTCCTTACTCGAGCTTTGCCCACTAGCTGTCGAGACAGGTCAGGGCTATTATAAGCCCAAAAGCAGATGGGCTGTTAGGAGGAGGACTCATCCACCTACTGAAATGATCATATCTTACTCTTCAGCAAACGTACCTTCCACACTTACTCCATCTGCTCAAGCAAGTGAACATTGATTCTGAACTAACAGAAAGTACCTTCCTCACTAGGCTACATCCACCATCAAGCAGGGCAGGGAGGGGGCAGAAAGCAAGGTGGCTGTCCAACCTGCTGGGACCTGCCTGAAACCATGGTGCTGACTTAGGAAGAGCTTTCCACGTGTAAAAACCCAGACAGCAATGTGTCCTTACCTGACAAGGACCTGTGTCCTTACCTGATAGGGGTAGTTGTACCAGCAATGCCTTGTATTCCACAGCCAGGGGGTCTGAAAACATGACAGAGAAACCATTTTACATGTTTTGGAAAAGAAGCAGGATAAGATGTTTATGACAGATTCTGGCCTCCCAGTGTTTCGGAATTTCAATAATCTACCTGCATGAGAACTGAAGGACCTAGTACAATCGGGAATGGGAGAGCAAAGCAATGAAGAGTCCATCATGCATTCTCTCTGGGGAATCTTCTAAACTCAACTGGCAGTATTTCAGGCTACTTCTAGGATAGGGTCCTAGATGGCACTTTTTTATATTGTGCTGGCTCAGTAGACACATTCCTGCAAGGTAACCAGCCTCAGCAGTAGAGTTCTTCAAGTGTCTCACCAAGATCCATTACAAATCCTCCATCTCACTGTTATCAATAAACAATGCTGACAGTTGATGCACATTTCTTTGAAACTCCTCCAATTCACTGTTTCCCAAGCAACTTAATTGTTTCATGCCTTGACTGGGGGTCAGTAGCAGGCAGGGACACTTATGTCAGTCAGACTAGCTCTGACTAATTCCAGGCTTGAGTAGATTAACCCTCAGATTAACCCTACACTCCACCCCGGACTCGTGGTCAAGGTCTTTCAAAGAAAAAACAAACCTCCTTAATTTAACAGACTCACTTGCCTTACCACATTGTAAAATTAAAGAGAACATCTAAGTATGCACACAGATTCCAAACATTTTTAATAAGCAGGTAGGTTGGTATGGATTTGAACAGACAGCTCAACCATCCCCTAACACCAGCACAAACTTTCTCATATTTCTGTACTAACTTCACAATTCTTTTGCATCCCTGATATTGGTGGTATACATCTACATACATCTGATACACATCTGTATGTTTCTTACTATTAGGAAACATAATCTATCATTAATCCAATCTGTGTGTGGGTTTATACATCTCAAAATGATAAAACTGTCATTGAAAGATTAATGTCAGATATATCTGTACTGACCTAACCTTCCTGTTTGGTCCCAGGTTCTGTAACAGCGAAAGTTGCTCCCATCTGTACTAGCATAATTTAGTTGTCTCTCTGAAAGCCATAGAGGTATCTTTCCACCTTGCATTGATGATGATGAGGATGAGGAGGATATTAGAGAGTACTTGTAGAGTCCTCCCCATGACCACACACTTTTTTTGAAGGATACATTGTTTTTTGAGAATTTTCCTCCATGATCTATTTTTTATTTAACCAATTAAAAAGTTGTTTCTCTTTGAAAGTGAAAGTGTTAGTCATTAAGTCGTGTCTGACTCTTTGTGATCCCATGGACGGTAGCCTGCCAGGCTCCTCTGTTCATCAAATTTTCCAGGCAAGATTACTGGGGTGGGTTGCCGTTTCACAGTCACACGCATGGACTCATTTAATCCTTATAGTAAGTAGCAGTAGTATTTCCCTCATTTTATAGATAGGTAAATTCAGACCCTGCGCCCACAGTTAACTGCCCTGGTTAAACAGCCAGGCAGGACCAGAGCTGCATATCAAGCTCAGACTGTCTGGTCTTAAAGCCAAACATAGCCACTGTGACTCTGCCTTTAAGTCTGATAAAAACTGAACCAGGCCTTAGTTCAGGGAGCCAGGCAGAAGTAAAAAGCCATGCCATGCCCTAAACCTAACAATGTTCAGGGATCTTTACAGTCTTGTTTCATTTAGGCACTCCTGATTCTCCTTCCTTTTTTTCCTGCTTTTGCCATTTGCTACCTGCACTGTACATATCATGTAGTCTCTCTGCACCAAACATCCTGGAAGCCCAAGTTGCCTATCTGACTGTCTTCTCCATTTCTCATGTCCATGACATTGAGGTTTATGACTGACCAACCTCATGGGATGACTATAAAGATCAAATGAGTGAACAAGTAAAAAAATGATGCAGAGTCTTCAGAAGTTTGACTGTCTTCTATAAACAACACAAGTCCATTGAGGAAGACATAGAAAGTATTGAAAATAATAATAAGAAAAATAATTGAATTCTTGTCACTACTAACATTTTAATATACAGCCCATTTTGAGCCTCTTTTCTGTATAATACAGATATTGATACAGACATGGATAGATTTGTCCTTAAACATATACATACACACATTATTTTTAAATTTGGGCACAGCATAGCAAAATCTATTTTGAAGTAGAGTAGAAATATTATTTGTTACCCTTCTCTCTGATAAAACTGTTTACTATCTCTACAATCGACTGAAAGTCCCTGAGGGAAAACTATGTCATATTCTCACGTTTATCTCTCCAGCATGAGACACTCAAGGTGACAGTTTAGCATTCATTACTGAATGCTAATGAAAAGGAATACAGAATTAAATCCCAGACCTATAAAAAGCCTTATAGTATTTTTCTGAATCTATCAGTCCCAGTGCACAGGGCAAGTGTATGCTTGCTTCTAAAGATATAGTCATCCTTCCCATTACAGACAAAACAGCAAAGATACCAGGAGTCATATGACTCCTAGTGACCCAGGAACACCCATCATTTAGAGCTTCCCTTCCTTTGTGAGCTTCTTGGCTCCTTGGGTTTCTTCTAACCCCCAGGCTTTTCTCTGGTGCATCAGATGTGCATCACCTAGACCAGCTTGTATCATGTGTGAAAGTGGACTGATCTGCAGAAACAGTGGGTAAGTCTTTGTCTCTCACTGTGTTCTGCCTACTTAAAGCAGGAGTAAAGAACATTGAGAATCTGATGGGGCTACCAGGGCCCTGGGATTCCCAGGTGGCAGAGTGGTAAAGAACCTGCCTGCCAATGCCGCAGATGCAGGTTCGATCCCTGGGACAGAAAGTTTCCCTGGAGAAGGAAATGGCAACCCACTCCAGTATTCTGGTCTGGGAAATCCCATGGACAGAAGGAGCCTGGTGGGTTATAGTCCATAGGGTCATAAAAAGAGTCAGACACAACTTACAGACTAAACAACCACAAACAACAGCCACTCTCAGGGCCATAGCTCAGCTTGTAAGCTTGCCAGTCAAACATTTAAATAAGCACTTGTGCACACTTATTTCACAATGCATGTTCGTGTGCACTTCCTACTTTGATGATACTAGATATTAACATATTCCATATGCTACATTTTTCTAGGGACTCATGTTATAGTCCCTCAAACTCTTTGAGACAGAATAAATGCTGTCTTTCCCAGAAAGCAGATGAGAAGACAAGTCCATGAAAAGGTGATTCTCCTAATTTCTAATGGCTCAACACAAGTGTATGAATCTGGATTGCTGCTTATAATTTAATGCATTAGGTATAACATCTTTAGTTTCAACTGATATCATAAATCTGTTGTTTTTTAAAATCAGTTTTTTTCAGATATATTTCTGAGAGCAATTTCCTTGTTCATTTGATATAAAAATCTATATAAGCATTAACATAATTAAGAACATAAAAAGCTGCAATATTTAGACATCAAGAAAGAATAATGGTGATGAAAAAACACACTGAAAGCCCTCATTTTATAAGGATGAGCCTAGCATCTTCCTACATAACTAGAGATAAGTTCTGAACCTAGGACGGTGCAAGGTGATTCACGCACATTTTCTGGAAATAGAAATGCCTTTTTACATGGCATTACAATAACAGGGGACAATATTAACGCTGGAAAATCCAAAAACTCAATGATTCTCAAACCGTGGCCTTCCAATAAGGACTCTTTTTATTCCCCCTCAAAGATATACTCTTAAATAATGATATGAAGCACTTTACAGATTTTAAAGTATTTTATACATATTACCTCATTTAATTTTCATAACAACATTGTAAGTGCTCAACTAACATAACATGCAGGTGCCAGAAAGGATAAAGAACATGTTGGCATGGAGGCCCTCTAACTATTAAAATGCAGGTTCTGATGCAGTAGGTCTGGCTTGGGGCAGATATTCTACATTTTTGACAAGTTTCAAGATGATGCTCAGACCTTGGACCACACTTTTGAGTAGTAAAGTGCTATAGAAAAGTAAGGAGGATGATCCAACTTGGTATTACCAGGTGTAAGACACTTTGCTAGGCACTTTGTTATAATATTTCACAATTCAGTGTTAGCTGAGCAAATGAATGAATTATTTCTCATCTTTATAGTAGCTATATGGAACAGAAGTTGTTAGTAAAACAGCAGTTAGCTGAAGACAGTGCTTCTCAACTGACATCCCTGCTTGCTAGAACCACACACTTAAGATATATATTGTGGAAGAGATGTGAGCAGGGGTAACATGGGCCACTTTGGGATGCCAACCCTAGTGATGAATGTGAATGAGTTGTTCTCATCCTTTCTCATTTCCATCAGAGGAAGATAGTAAGGGCTGGAGCTGTCATCTTTGACCCCGAGATAGAAGTTTCTGTTGATGTTCGTGTCAGAGGCCTCCTACTAGCCCTGGTCTGCCTACCTTGGACTATATGTGTGAGACAGATAAATTCCTATCATCTTCCTTATACATATACACAGAGACTGTATTCTCACTAATAGAGTCATCTAATAGTTGCAGGACCCACCATGGATTCCAAAATCCAAGGAATCCAGAATCCCGCATTTTGTTATGGGAGTCTGGGGTGATTTACACAGCATTGTAAGACAACTCTTCATATATGGTACTTAATAGCTATTAAATGTGTGTGTGTGTGCTTAGTCACTCAGTCGTGTCTGACTCTTTGCAACCCCATAGACTGTAGACCACCAGGCTCCCCTGTCCATGGGGATTCTCTAGGCAAGAATACTGGAGGGGGTTGCCATGTCCTTCTCTAGGGTATCTTCCCACCCCAGGGATCAAACCCAGGTCTCCCACACTGCAGGCCGATTCTTTACTGTCTGAGCCACCAGGAAGCTATTAAGGCACACATCAACTAATTTCAATTTAAGACTTACAAAATACCTGAATAAGATTAAGACCATAAAAGAGTACATAACGAAAGACTTTTAACATTCTCGATTTAAAGCACAATGTAAAATGACATTTATGTTATGTACATCTGCTCCCAGACACAATACTTGAGATACAACTTGGCCACATGCACAT